GGTACGGAAGAGGGATTGTTCCACGTAACCTACAAAGAGGCAGGCGTAGCTTGGGCCCATGCGGGTACCCATGGCTACCCCCTTTGTCTGTAGGAAGTGGGAGGAATTGAAAGAGAAGTTGTTGAGTGTGAGGACGAGTTCGGCTAAGCGGATGAGGGTGTCAGTGGAGGGGGACTGGTCGGGCCTGCGGGACAGGAAGAAGCGGAGGGCCTTAAGGCCATCTGCATGGGGAATGCAGGTGTAGAGGGACTGGACGTCCATGGTAAAGATGAGGTGTTGGGGACCGGGGAATTGGAAGTTCTGGAGGAGGTGGAGGGCGTGGGTGGTGTCACGGACATAGGTAGGGAGTTCCTGGACCAAGGGGGAGAAAATGGAGTCGAGATAGTTGGAGATCAGTTCGGTGGGGCAGGAGCAGGCGGAGACAATGGGTCGACCAGGGCATTCAGGTTTGTGGATTTTGGGAAGGAGATAGAAACGGGCAGTGCGAGGTTGGGGAACGATGAGGTTGGAGGCCGTGGGTGGGAGGTCACCTGAGGTGATGAGGTTGTGGATGGTTTGCGAGATGATGGTTTGGTGCTCAGGGGTGGGGTCTTGATCAAGGGGGCGGTAGGAGGAGGTGTCGGATAATCTTGTTACCTTTGTGGGTTCTTTAAAATTTCACTCTGAGCTGCTCGTAATCCTTCAGCAGAGTCTCTTTCCTCATCTGACTTAGATCATTGATACCTGTGTGGACCACAGCAAGTGGATCTTTTCCTTCCCATTCCATGTTCCTCTCCAGCCCAGAAGAGGAACTCCTAACCTTAACACTTGGTACAGAACACAACCTTCAGGCCTGGCTAACTTTGCAGAGTGTGGTATGAATTCCCCTATCTTCATTCTTCCCTATTATGTCTGCATTTCTCTGCTTTCCACCCTGTCACCCACTTGCACGACACTCTATATCACTGTGGTTTGGTCAGTTCGTTCATCCATATCTGCAAACATTCAGTCCCTCCACCACCGACGCTCAGTAGTAGCAGTGTGTACTATTACGAGATTAACTGCAGAAATTCGCCAAAGATCCTCAGATAGCACTTTCCAAACCCACAACTACTTCCATTTAGAAGGACAAAGGCAGTAGATGCATGGAAACACCACCACTTGCCCCCTATAAGTTCCCCTCCAAACCACTCGCCGTTCTGACTTAGAAATATATCTCCATTTCTTCACTGTTACGGGGTCAAAATTCTGAAATTCCCTTCCAAACGATATCAGATGGATTGCAATGGCTCAAGAAGGCAGCTCATCACAACCTTCATACGTGTGACAGTAAAATCAAAATCTTTCTGGAATGGAAATCTCTGAATTTTATGCCTCATCATTTTAAAGCAATTGACATTCAGTGAACGAAATTAAATGATACCAGACTTGGCAAGATAGGAAGCAGAATGGCATTCAACCGAGCGGGATAGTGACGCGCCCATTGCCCACTACTTTCCAGCTTCCAGTAGAATTAAGTTTATGGCTGGAAGTGCCCCAGCACCAGCTGATGCCATTATGATGGGCAATAAATGCAGGTCCAGCCAGCAACCTCCACATCTGTCGAGTGAATTTAAAAATAAAATTCCTCCCTGCAGTCTGAGCCCTTGTCCCATTGGGAGCAAGAACCTCATACCTTTGAACAAAGGTACTGGCTAAGTCTCCTCTGTACCTGCCTGGCACGTTCCTGCCCTGACCAAGGACCAAATTTGATACGATTAATCTAAAAGGTTATGAAATGCAGAGACTTGGTAACTCTCTTGCAGCCTGTTGTTCTGCAGTTCAAACTCCAGCTCATCAACTCAGAGTTGAAATTCCTCTACCAGCCAACACTAGCTGGTCATTGTGGATCACACCGGTGTCCACCAGCTCCCAGAATGGCCTCAGCTGGTGTTGGCCTACAACCCAATGGTCTCACTGTGGATTTTACCAGTTTCAAAATCTCCCCACCCCCGGCATCATCCCATGACCAACCCTCCCTCTCATCCCTGCCTCCTTGACCTGACACAACTATCCATCTTCTCTCCCACCTATCCGCTCCTCCCACCTCACTGACCAATCCCCACCACTGCCTACCTGCACTCACCTATCACCACCCCACCTACCTTCCCTAGCCCGACCCCCGCCCTCTCTATTTATTTCCTAGCTCCCTTCCCCCTCCCTCATTTCTGAAGAGGGGTACCAACCCAAAACATCAGCTTTCCTGTTCCTCTGATTGCTGCTTGGCCTGCTGTGTTCCTCCAGCTTCAAGCTGTGTTATCTCTGACTCCAGCATCGGCAGTTCTTACTATCTCTGAGTGAGTTAAAAGCCTTTAATTATATCCTTTTGACAGGTTCATATAATAATGGGCAAGAATTCTGTCTCTCAGGATTTCAGATCTCCTTGCTTCCTCCATTTTTCTCTCTCTGTTCATAATCCTGGAGCTTTTAAAACCCAGGTTTAGCACTATCTAATCACTCTTCTTTGATTTCCTTTGTCTTTTCTGTCTCCTGTTTCCTGAACTTGATTGTGCCGTTCCCTATTCACGGAGAATCGTCAGCAAGTTTCTCTGCTGTATTGCAATTGGACACAACATCAATAGCATTATTTAAATACAATGGGGCAGACAAAGGCATCATTTTGTGTAATTTGCTCCACAAGTTAACATTGCTTCCTTATTTTTGAATAAGAATTAATTCCCTTATTTGAACCTCCCAGGTTATTCTCTGACAAATTTTAATAACACAGCTGTGCAGAGCTAATTATTCTTTAACATTGTACCGAAGGGATTTTGTTTTATTAAAAAAAAGCTGGCATGGCAGTGCAGTGCGTCGGTACTCAACTGTTCTGTTCACTGGTGAGATCAGAGTTATACTTCAAATTCTAGCTATGATCTCAGCAACGCCACAGGTCGATACCAGCTCCATCCTCGTGTACTTTATGCCTGTATTAATAAAACTGAGGATCTTGGTCTGCTTTACCTGCTTGGCTTTCTACCTGTCCTGCCACTTTCAGCGGTCTGTCCAAACCCCCAACTCAGGTCCATCTGCTCCTCGCCACCCCACACCCTTCAAGTCATATTCTTTATTATATACCTTGGAATGCATCTCTGGTGATTGTGAAAATGACGAGCTTTAATGATTTCCTCAGTGAGTAGACGCTTTCCTGAAATCAACCAGTTTTGTTTTCCACCTTTTTTGATATTTGCCTCCCTGGTGGTCAGAGTGAATGATGCATTAGATTGTAACATTTAATACAGTAAACATTGATCGGTCAAATGCTCTCTTGGTATGTTTATTTGTAAGATGAATTTTGTAAGAAAAATTCTAGTCTTTTTTTGATTCAGTCAATTGAAGAATCAACCAGACTGAGGTTCCTTATTCCACACATGATTGGGGTTTTGCTTGAAGGCTGCTAATTATCTCCATTGCTGATTGCCTTACAGATGCAGAGAAGCTGAGTGAAGCTACAAACACTGGAAGGAAAGCTGGCTCTATCCATGCTGCCTCCAACAAAAGGACGACCGATGACTCCAGTGACAGTCAGGAAGATGAACAGATGGCAAGTAACTTTTGAACAGTTTCTTTAGAGAGAGAGGTTAAAAAAAAGACTGAACTATGCTTTTTTTAATCTCTGTCTAAAATGGCAGTGGCCTAAAGTCATCATACGTCATTTCCCTATCCGTAGTAAGGTAAACTGCCTCTTCAGCCCCCAGCTGCATATATAGGAAGTAGAGAATAATAATAAGTAGAGAAGTTGAACCTTCCCATTCATCAGAGTGAGATTGAACTTTTTGCAGCAGCGGTCTATTTACAGGTAAGTGTGCTCTTCCCTCCTGGGTTCTAATTAATTTGAGAGCACGGAAAGCTGGGAAAATGAATGAAATGACAATGGTTAGTGGCATGGGACTGTGAGTCATGCAACTGGAATTGATCATTGTGATTACAATTGTCACATCTTTTCTCGTTTTATTTTCCGTTAGAATGTAATGTCGTACTTACAGGCAGCACAGTGTTTACTGTTTATCCCAGTTGGCCTGGAGGCAATGGATGTTAACCCTTTCACTGGAATTGGGACCGGAATGATATGTACCCAGAGGGGAAGAAACAGTTTGTACAGGGCTGGCACAGGTGGTAATGCACCAGTTACTGTGGACCATCAGAGGATGGTAAATCCCAGTTAGTTACTGGTGGATCTCTCCCTGGTTTTGGCGAAAGGGGTGGGATGTTGGTGCTGGTAGCATTCTCCTTGCTTCTAGCAGTTGGAAATGGTTGTCACTGGATGGTAGGCTGTCATTACCTACTCTCAGTGGTAGCTTCTGAATGCCCTTCCTACTCTCAATGAGCTTGCACATCCTTAAGACTTCGATGTGATTGCTTTCCCAACTTGCAGGTTTTAAGCATATGGGTCTTTCGACATTGTGGTAGATTTAAGCTTTGTTGGAGAACAAACTTGGTGAAAAGTGACGCAGCTCAGCCATAGGCTTCAAGTTTGAAGGACCCTGATTTAGGCAAAGACAATCTCTCAACTTTAAACTTTTATTAAGAAACTCAAAAAAAAAGCTCCAAAGCATGAAACTAAAATATGTGCGGGGATTAATGTACTCACAATTTCATGAATTATATACAAAATGAGCATCCAACTGTATCATTTCTTCACAAATTCAGTTGCTGCACAGGGCTTCTTGTTCAAACCATGCACGATGTATCTTTTTATGTAGCTGTTTAGTTCTCACACCTCCTTTATGACTTTGCCCCGACGTGTTGGGGGGATCGGGGGCATGGTGTGTGAAGGATGTAGAGCACGCAGAATTAGCCCTGCTGTTGCTGAAGCTTAAAAGTATCATGACAGCTCAAAATTCACTTCAGCGATGGAAATAAAGGAAAGCAGCTGGTGTCAGAAATCAGCATGGATACTGTTCGCATCATTTGAGTGGTGATGAATTGGTGATCCCCCTGCCTCATTCATGGACTGTCAGCACAGCCCTCCCTCAGGCCTGATACCCCCCCAGCCTCCCTCAGGCCCGACACCACCTGGCCTTCCATAAGCCGACATCTCCCAGCCTGTCCTGCAAAACAACTACAACTTATTTTTATTTTTATTGTAATAGGCCCAGAGACCTACTTGCAGTTTTTGAATGGTGATTGTAGGCTGACCAGGGAGCATGCTATGCTCGGCCTGATATTCCGTAATGAGATAGCGTTAACAAATTATCTCATACTGAAGGCATCCCTGGGCAGCAACACCCATAATATAATAAAATTTTACAATCAGCCAGAGGGCAAAAGGAGTGTGTCTGACTACTTTTTGAATAAAACATTCAGAAAGGGGAATTTCAAGGGCATAAAATCAGAGCTGGCGAATGTCAATTCTCAAATTAAGTTGAAGGATAGGTCACTGGAGGTGCATTGGCAGGTACTTGCGAGATTATTACAGAATAGATACATTTCAATGCATATGAAAAATTCCAAGGGATGGACCCACCTTCCCTGATTAACTAGAAATGTTAAAGATAATACCAAACTGATAGAAGAAGCATATAATTGTGAAAAGACAGATGGCAGATCAGAAAAGTGGATGGGATATATATAAAAAAGAAGCAGCAAATGTTGACCAAAAGTTATTAAACGGAAAGATTAGAGCACGACAGAAAGCTAACCAGAAATATAAAAAGATATTAAGAATTTCTGTGAATATTTAAAGAAGAAAAACATTGAAGTGAGCATTGCTCCAATAGAAAGGGAGACTAGAGAATGAATAATCGAAAATAAGGAAAGGGCAGATGAACTGAACTATTATTTTGCATCAATCTTCACTACAGAGAATACAAGTAGCATCAATACCTTAAGAAATGAACGGTGGGAGGAACTCAGGAAAATGACAATCACCAGAAAAGTGGAACTGAGTGAATTGTTTGAGATGTGGGCTGACTGAGATAGTTGATGCTTTGGTTTTTAATTTTCTGCAACTCCCTTGATTCAATCCTTTAGATTGGAAGATAGTAAATAGAAATCCTTTATTTAAAAAGAGAGGCAAAAAGCAGGAAACTGCAGATCTGTTAACTCATAGGAAAAATGTTAGAAGCTGTTATTAAATAAATTCAAGGCAATCTGGCACAGTCATCATGGTTTTGTGAAAAGGAAATTCCCACCATGAAACTTTGGTAAGCGCTCACAGGAAGTTAGGTCGACTTGAAAGTCATGCAGAATCTTTTGTCGATTACGATTTTAATGAAAAAATTAGAAATTTCGATGATTATATAACTTTTTTTCGATTGGTTCTTATGGTGTAGGTATCTCTGGGCCTGTGTATATTGCCCAACTCCAATTATCCTGCAGAAGGTGGTGGTGAGCTGCCTCCTTGAACTGCTGCAATCTTTGAGGTGTCGGTGTATCACAGTGCAGTTAGGAAGGAAGCTTCAGGATTGCTTCCCAGCAACAACAAAGGAATGACAGCACAATTTCAAGTCAGGATGGTGTGTGGCTTGACTGACTAAGCTGATAATTCCACATTTATTCTTGCAGCAAACTGGAGTATGCAAGTGATTGAATAATGGAAAGCACGTTCTGATTGGGTCTTCCGGTATTGGCGTGTTGGTGGAATTTTTCGGAGACCATTATTTTGAGCTTCGTGTTGAAATAGAGAGCCCATTTTTAAACTCCAGCATATGCATAATTGCGAGAGTAGGTGGAAATGTAGCAACTAATGAGTTAGACTGAGCAGTGCTCACTTACACAGCTCTCAGGCTAGATATCTATCCAACAACACTTCAGTGAATGCTGCCAACTGAGCTAAGCTGATGCTCTAATCTTTTTGAGCCAGAAAGTTGCGTATTCCTCCAGCATTAGAGTTTAAAATGAACGCTGGCTGATCAGCGCAGCAGGAGAACTTCATGAGCAAATGCAGCTGAGATTTTAAGAGTGTATCCGTTTTCTCCAGTTATTTGGCTCCCATGGGACGATCTAAAGTAAAGATCTGTCTTGTCCAGCAATCTGCTAGTTCAATTTTATCAAAAATGAATTACCTATTTAGTAAGCCGGTTACCATTTGTGGGATGCTGAGCACTATTTGTCTGCTTCCAATACAAGTGACAGAATTACGAAGTATTTCATTATCTGTGCAATTCTCTGAAATGTTTTGGAGAGGTGCCCTACAGGCACCATTTTAAATTTAATTGCAATCAGGCTTTCGAATAGTACATGCTGCCTAACCTCCATAGGAGTGGTATATGATGTTATCCGTAATAATCCTCATGTCCAAAAACAAGTCTTACCTAACGTTCACCTTGTAATTTGTAGGAAGAAAAGAAAGTTGAGGGACAAAGGGGTAGACAGTAGTGATGTTAAGGGCAAGAATAGCTGTGAGGGAATGGATGGAGGCTCTTCATTTCAAAATAGAGCTGTAGGCAGAAGGAATTCAGAGGAGATCTTAGAGACTGGAAAATTGGAAAGGAACAAAAGTGTAAAATTAAAAGTGGCTTGTATCAAATGGTATTGAAGAAACAGCAAAGAGTAACAAAGATTGTACTGGTGAGGTGGGAGAATTCATAGAATCATAGAGCTGTACAGCACAGAAACAGACCCTTTAGTCCAACTCGTCCATGCTGACCAGATATCCTAAATTAATCTAGACACATTTGCCAGCATTTGGCCCATATCCCTCTAAACCCCTCTTTATTCATATACCCATCCAGATGCCTTCTAAATGTTGTAACTGTACCAACCTCCACCACTTTCTCTGGCAGTTCATCCCATACATTCACCACCATCTGTCTGAAAAAGTTGTCCCTTAAGTCCCTTTTAAATCATTCCTCTCTCGCCTTAAACCTATGCTCTCTAGTTTTGGACTCCCCTACGCTGGGAAAATGACCTTGTCTATTCACGCTATCCATGCCCTTCATGATTTTATAAACCTCTATAAGATCACTCCTCAGCCTCTGAAGCTTCAAGAAAAATAGCCCGAGCCTATTCAGCCCCTCCCGAGAGCTCAAACCCTCCAACCCTGACCACATCCTTGTAAATCTTTTCTGAACCCTTTCAAGTTTAACAACATCCTTCCTATAGCAGGGAGACCAGAATTGAACACCGTGTTCCAAAAGTCAACCCTTGATATTTAACTGTGCCTATCACCAATGGTTTTGTAGAGGGTATCTTACTCAGAATGGCTGATCAAGGCTGTGGCTGGGAATCTGGCCTCCAGGTTCTACACACTGTTTCATGGAGATGGAGAGGGCTTTCTATTACATCTGTGCTCTCTGAGACTGCATTCGCACATGTTTGCAAATACTTGGGAATCGAGGAGGCTGTGTCTCAGTCATGTTGGTATTTTTAAACATAAAATTGCTGTGTCTTTAACACTAATCATTGCTTCCTGCCTGAAGTGTAATTGGCTCATCTTCAGTGTGTGAAGGAGGGAGAAGGGAGGCAGTCAAGTAAATGCAATAACTCCAGGATGACTGATCAGTGATGACAAAGTCAACAGGCAAGCACAATAACCTCCAAGATGGGACGCAAATTCTAGAAACAGAGGCAGACTTTGGGTCTTCTATCGTAGTGCGCTCT